CACCATTTGATAAGAGCAGTTGTTCCACGAATTCCACGTCAAATATCAATTCCCATATCTCACCGAAGTGCATCGAACGAGTCTGAAATGTGCTGTGATTAGCAGATCCATATGATGAATTTTGGGCAAGGAGTGTTTCAAGGTTTACCATAAAATCGGAATTCCTGTAATCACGTGAAAAATCGAGGTCAGAATTTGGTCCTTTATTATGATTCAATAATAATCGACATAATGCGCATTCCTTGCAGTTGTTATCAAAATCGGAGTTCCCGTGATCATATTTTATTTTCACCGCGTTTCCGTAAGTAACCATTGCGTGATTTGATAAATTGAGTCCCCCAGGACCATTGATGATTGTCTATGATTGTGCAAATAATCTACGTATTCATCTGCTATATAGTATCACAATCAAATACGGCAGATCTCTCTGCCGTATGCCACTTCAAATTATGATATGCCACAGGAATGCCTATAAAGACCAGAGAATGTGAAACATAAAGTTCTAAAGTCGTTACACTCAGGAAGATTGAGATCCGATAGTTAACCAAAAGCATGGTCCACTTACCGACACTTCAGTCAGTCTATACGGCTGTGTAACAGTAACAGGAAGTGAATGAGTGGAAGCTGAAACGGTAATGTTCTTAATGCAGGGATTTCGATGTAGACGGATGTCGACGGATTTGCATTCTAAACGCGATTTCTCGTGTTGTGATACAGTCATTGCCAGCCTAACGGTGTCACTGAATCAGTTGGAACAAACAGATGAGAAGCGCAATAAAAAGTCTTGTATTTGAACAGAAATATTTACAAAGAACTGACAGGAAAATTCTTAGTTTTGACAGGTTTGATGTCTGCATTTCAATTTTATCCCAATCGCTGAAGGAATTCACTTCACATATGTGGTGTCATTGTCAATGAAAGCAAGTGTTATTAGGCATACAGGGGTCCAAACCAACCTGGGATGAACGTCCAGCGATTTCATTTTCAGCGTTGCGTTCAACACCGCTTTCTACTCCGCTTCTTGTACAGTTTTCAACTGAATAGACTCATGACACTCAACTCCGCCAATCAGAACGTCAATCTTTAATAGACGTTCCTCTCCTTCCAAAGCTGCATCGCTCAATCGCACGGATACGGTAACAATGAACTGACTTCTAGATTCGAGATTTTCAGGATCTGGCAATGCAAATAAAAAAGTCATTATGATAGACTTTTTCATTGAGCTTTGAAGTCAATCATATATTTCTTTACGGACAGTTCTTTTACCTTGTATTTCCACCTACAACGTATTCACCTGAATTGCGTTCAATGAAGCATTTGCATTGAAATAACGAAGTGGATTTCCAAACTTCTTTCCCCACTCCATTCCAACGAAACTAGGGTTGCAATATGCGACACGTGAGGCAGGAATTCCTCTGCATTTGACGACAAGGAGTGACGGCTTTGGCACAATGTCATTTAATTTGCTGATAATAATCGGTGTTGAATCTGTTTGCCGCCCTCCACACGTACCACCCCAACAGTCTGTCTAGTCACCTCTCCTTCCAGTGTCATTGTCTGACCCTTACGTATTATCGATCATCGGACATGCACTTCTCGTCCGTTCCATCTCTTCACTCGTCCACCACACTTGGTTCTCCCTCTCCTTCTCGTGACCGTTGTCCTTGACCTTCATATGGTCTGACTATCGTATGGAGTTGCCTAATCTTATCCGGATTGGTCCTCAGCCTCACCCATGTGTCGACCTGTCCCATGTGCACTTTGACGTTATTTCACTTATCGTTTGTTCGTTTCGCGGAGTGGTGGACTCCTTCGTTTGCATCTTGGTTCTCGATTGGCATTATTTATTTCACCGGTTCAGGCATACCCCCGGGAACGCCAAGATTTGAGGTGTGTTGTTTATGTAATTGTGACGCTTAATAGTTACAGTACAGCATACTTATTCGCTATTGTTGGAGTCGAATAACCTCTAGAAAACTTGGACTTGGCTTGTGGGGTTGCGCGTCACTCAACTTTGGCCCAGATAGTCATTTAAATCTAACAATCGTTACGTTCCTTGGTTTGTTCACGCTTATGCTCCGTTCCACGTCGGTTCCAAGTGCGGTCCNTCGCGGAGTGGTGGACTCCTTCGTTTGCATCTTGGTTCTCGATTGGCATTGTTTATTCCACCGGTTCAGGCATACCCCCGGGAACGCCAAGATTTGAGGTGTGTTGTTTATGTAATTGTGACGCTTAATAGTTACAGTACCGGATACTTATTCGCTATTGTTGGAGTCGAATAACCTCTAGAAAACTTGGACTTGGCTTGTAGGGTTGCGCGTCACTCAACGTTGGCCCAGATAGTCATTTGGATCTAACAATCGTTACGTTCCTTGGTTTGTTCACACTTATGCTCCGTTCCACGTCGGTTCCAAGTGCGGTCCGGTTGCAAACCTAAAGATAAGTGTAAAGATAATAACGCCGTGGTTGGAGAGCTAGCATTTGTGATGAGAAATAAACTGTTGATTAAAAGGGGCATTCGTCAGGTTTTTTCTCTGGATGAAAATTACTACTTTTATTTTGTTCACCTGTTCCACCTCTTTCAACTCTGTCGTGGTCACGGGATAAATTGAGCGACATCATTTCGAAAATATTTCTCTTGAACATCAATGGCTGGGCTTTAATCACAGAAGTTAGGAAAATTTCACACAAGAACAAATGTTGGAACGTAATCACTCCAATTTTATAGGTAATCATTAGTATGAAATCGGTTTTGGGAGATAGGCACACATCGCTTAATTCAGATAATAACTAGCCATTGGGTGATTAGAAATGAATATGCTTACAAAATAAATCTCTCTCCAGCACAGAAAAAAACATTGATTTACTTATCATCATTGTGAAAAAGAAAACGGAACACTATAAAGAAAGGAGTTACTTCGAGAAGGACACAAGAATCCATAGGCTTGAATAAAAACTCGTACATATATTACTCCTTGGGAACGCAATATTCTGCACACTTGATTGAGTGAACGAGCTGTTGTTTAGAATGGAATATCAAATAGTGTAAACATTCGCACATAGCTCATAATATTCAGTGAGTGGTGATGCGCGATAGTTGATGCTTTAACTGACTTTAACTGAACAATCCTCATGTATCAAGTTTGCACAAATTCCCGAAGGGTTCCAGTCAACTCTACAATCGGATGCACACACTTTACATGAGTTTTGCTTTAATGGAAACCCATTAATGGTGCATTGACCCCATCCAGTCAAATCTTTGAAGTGCCAACCCGTTGCACATAGTAACTGAAGACTTTGCATAGAGGTGAACGGTGAGGGATAATAGGGTATAAATCCATGGATGGAGCGTCACGGGACCTTCTGTCACCTTGCACTCAACAAACGATTTCGAGTAAGCTAGGTGGAGAAAGCCATCAATGGTGATTTCAGCCTAACAAAATGTGACAGTTACAAATGCACTGTGCCCAAATATTCGCCCTGACACAAGTGATGGCTTAATCAATACAGAGTTTCAGTACAACCAGAAGGATTGCCCCAAGATAAATCCACATTGTGAAGGGTTGCCGTCCGATGATGTTGGAAATCATTTGGAATCGGGAATCAGCGAGCGCTCTTAGTTCAATCAAAAAAATGCTATTTTTCCACTGATACTTAGAGTATAGCCAATTGGAAATTATTGCAGCACATAACCGAAATATCAATCAGTTGAACCGTGCTTGCAGAAGAGAGTGAGAAAGACCACTAATTATCAGCAAAGAAACGTACCCTACTGTTCGCATTGCCTTGCACGCACAGTTCGCCCAAGTTCATGTATTTTCTAAGCTAATTTGGAGGGAATACTCTAAAAACCAAAATGATATTTTATCAGTAATTCACAGTACTACTGAGCTTGCACGCACGCATCAACCATGATGCGGTGCAAAATAACGCACAGTGTGTGTGTGTGTGATGGAACAACGTGCTCCTTTAACCTTAATGTATTTTGGGCAAAACAAGAAGTTGAAGTAAATTTTCATCACGGAGATAGAGAATAAGGGAGGTGCAGTATTGGCAAACAGTGGTATGTTTAAAGCTACTTACGATTGGTCCGCAGATACAGTGAGGAGGTGCAGTATTGGCAAACAGTGGTATGTTTAAAGCTACTTACGATTGGTCCGCAGATACAGTGAGGCATTTCATCCCGGAACCGATCAATGTTACGGTCATTTTGTTCAGTGCGATTATTTTTGTGTAATCGCAAGTCACGCGAGCTATAGGAATGCAGCTGAAACGGTCCATGCACATGCGGTATCCAAATCTGAGATGCAGATGAGTGGACATGGTGAGTTGGGTTTCCGAGTTCGTATCGTCCTCTCCCTCGCAAAACGTGAATTCGTAGTGCTTTGTCCAAATGAAAACATTGCCAGTTACTATCCAGGTAATGTTTCATATAAAACACTACAGTCGCCCATACTTCAACTGAATTGATTGCGGATGCTATCAAGTGTGTTCATCTAGAGTGAGAAAAAAATCACGGGGTTAACTTTTACCTATTGCGTCCCAAATACGGAGTAGTTGGAATGAATGCCACCTGCTTTTTTGTTGTGTTGCACGATCAGTTTCGGTCGGATGGACTCTGATTGCGAACATACATAATTCACCTGATCAACCTCAATGTTCCATGCGGCGATGATGACGAGAACGAGAGTGGTGAATTCGTACGAAGTAGTTGTCGTTCAGCTATACAGGATAGCACCGATGACGGACAAGGGAATCCTTCTCGCATATTAGCTACTTTGCTAGCTCTTTGTGGTAACTTCATGAATTCAGGGCGAAGCATGAGAAATCTCTTGATCCGACGCAACTGAGGTGCGACCGAGAATTCAGAAGCCTGTTGAATAGCGGATTTTCGGAACATTTTATCTATTTGGCATCAGATATTGAACCCTCATTTCAGCCTGATGAGACTCCAAATTAATGGTACCCAATCCACTACCGGATAGCTAATTCATATGTTTTGAATGAGTGCCCCTGTAATTGATTTACAGGAAAAATACTCTCATCATCTTTCGACT